ATACATAAATATTGATGAAAAGGGCACATTTTGTCAAAGTGTCTCATCTTGCACTCATCTGGATAATTCACAAGAATTCACCAGTTAATGATGACTGTCAGTTATCCTATCTGATCACAGAGTAAAGCAAGAGAACGTAGCTGGAATTGGTTCTGTCACAGCAACTGGTGTTGAATCATTGCTCGTTTAAGAAGAGCTGAATCTTTCGCAAATCCTGAGTTCCTTTTAAAGTCTCCAAATGAAGAAATTCTGGGTTGGTAAAAGCTTTATGTTCAGTGTGCGCTGGGCACTTATGGAAAGTTGCTTATCCCATTTTAAAGCTCTAAAATCCTGTCAGCACCTGACCACCTGGTGGTTGTACTAGTACCGAAAAGAGACACTGAGCACAAGATGCTGAATGTTCATAAAGCTCTAGTTATGCCACAACTGGAACACTGCAACGAGTGCTGGTTAACACTCGAGAAAAAAGGATGCGATATCCAAATAGGAGATTACCCAAAATGATTCCAGAGATGAGATTTTAGTGACAAGACTAGATTGGAGAAGCTGGTGCTGTTCTTGTTGGAATAAAGGAGATTCAGGGACATATTATAAAGGTGTGCAAACTGCTGTTCACTTTTCCAATCTGAGCCTGTGCTCCCAGAACAGAATCAGATTAGCCATGATCTTATTGAGTAGCTGAGCAAGCCCACTGGGCCAAATAGCCTATTTTTCATCTTTCTTTGTATGTTTGAAACTGTCAAACTTTGAGTAAGTAATTAACAGTCTGGTCAATGCATTGTCCTGAGAAATGTCCGTCTTCCCTGGACTGACCTACCCCCACCCTAACTCCCCACCTACACTCACCTTTACTGGCTCCATCCCCACCTCTTTGACCCGTCTGTCTCCTCTCCACCTATCTGCTCCTTTATCCATCTTCCATTCACCTCCCCCTCTCTCTATATTTATTTCAGAATCCCCTTCCCCTCCCCCACTTCTGAAGAAGGGTCCAGATCTGAAACGTCAGCCTTCCTGCTCCTCTGATGCTGCTTGGCCTGCTGTGTTCATCCAGCTCTACACCTTGTTATCTCTCTTCTAATTTGTTGTGTTGATGTCGGTGTAGTGTATGTCTGTGCCATTTCAATCTGCAAAAGGCAGGGCCCTGGATATTAATATATTAAACTTCCAAGAGACACAAGTGCACTTTATGACATGCCCAATAAATTTGTTGTCAGTTTAATTCTTTGTACACTCAGGATTATGTGGTATATGCTGCTCAGTTGCAGAGTAACATCGATCGCTGGATTCTGTGTTGAGGTTTGCTG